GTACTGGAAAGCTGCAATAAGATCACCCCCGAGCCTTCTCTTCTCCAGGCTGAACAGCCCCGACTCTCTCAGCCTGTCTTCATAGCAGAGGTGCTCCAGCCCTCTGATCATCTTAATGGCCTCCTCTGGACTCGTTCCAGTAGCTCCATGTCCTTCTTGTGCTGGGGACTCCAGAGCTGAACACAGTATTCCAGGTGAGGTCTCAGGAGAGCAGAGCAGAGGGGCAGAATCCCCTCCCTCGCCCTGCTGCCCACGCTGCTCTGGGTGCAGCCCAGGACACGGTTGGCTTTCTGGGCTGCCAGCGCACGGTGCCGGCTCATGTTGAGCTTCTCATCACCCAACACCCCCAAGTCCTTCTCCTCAGGGCTGCTCTCCATCCATTCTCCACCCAGCCTGTACTTGTACTTGGGATTGCCCCAACCCATGCGATATTTTTATTTTTTTTTGCAACCCATGCGATTACCGCGATTTTCCTTGCGAACCGTCACGGAGTGCACAAGATCATTCTTTGTTTCTTTCCGTTGCTGAAGGAGGAAGGCTTTTTAAATATAGATACACTAGAAACGTAGGATAATTCTTCAGTCCAGACAAGAGCGTGGGAAAACTGAACGGAGAGCTTCGATATTAATATCGAGCGGAAAAAAATCCGTTTGAACGGTTCAGTATTTCCCACTGATTGTCTCTTCGTGACGTCTGGTCATTATAAAAACTGTACAAAGATAACTGATCATACAGGTACGTGCTTAGGAAATACTGGAAATCTGTGATTCTCCAGTAAGAGGAGATTTGTGGACAGTGTTTAGTGTTGCACCTTAACGCAGAAGGAGAGTATCACACCTAATGTTGAGAGTGTGCCTTGAATTTTCCCTTTCTTAACTTATTGCAGAGTAGAAGAATTCAAATTTGGAAGAGAATGTTAAATTCTGTTTCAGAAGCTTCCCACTGATGTTTAATAGTGTTTCTTCTACACACTTAAGCTTAAATAACTGCGTTTGAGTGTCTTTTAAAGCTAACTAAACAAAAATAACAGAGCATGAAAGCACAGGCGTCAGTCTATCCTTGTTCTGTGAACGGGTGTCTTCAGTTTTGTCTACGTCTTTCTTTGATTCTGAATCCCTTTTTGATGAAATCAAAATCTCATTTGTTTCCACACCTTAACTCAGTATTTTAATACTTAAAGAGATTGGTCTGTGTACAAACAAGGGACTTAAATGAAATAGTTTTCCAAGTGAGGAGCGAACCACGGACACCTAATTCTTACGGCCACACTGTTTTGATAAATGCCTTCTTAGCTTAGGAAGCACTTCTGCTCATTTTGTTCAGAAATCAAAACCTCATTCACATCTGGAAATGGCCTCCCCAGGTTAATGCAGAAACAAATCTGGATGAATTCTGATATTCAGCAGGGTCTGTGCTCTGTGTCCTGCGCTGAACGTAGCCGGTCGCTTCTGCATGCCCTGATTATGATTTTTAATCTTCTGCATTAGAATGTTTCAGCGGTGCCTGGCTTACGTGTTTAAGAATTTAAACTATTTCCATTTATTTCAGGCTTTTTGTTGGCAAACACTTTGAAGAGACTGTCAGTGGAACGCTGGCTTTAATGGCGCCTGTTGGTTTTCAGGTCGCAGACGCGAAGACCGCGGATAAGCGGAGCTCACTCTCCAAGACTGCATCATCTGCCACTCCCAGACCTGCTGTCAGGAGCACCCCTGCTACTCCTAAGACAACGGCAGCATCGCCGGTCGCTGCAGCTGCTGGCGTGAAAAATACTGCTACTTCTCCACCGAAGAGGCCGACATGTAAGTAAAGTATTCCCTTGGGTTTTTTTCCCAGATCAATCTCTCTAACCAGCTGCCAGTTTCTCTGTGAGTAGCACCGTTGGTTCACCCTATGATGTCTTTCTCATGTATTCCAGTACGCTAACTGCTTTTTTTTTTGGGTCATCCTGTGGCCCCATCAGTTTACTAAAATTTAGTCTCCTGGTAAACGAGCTTGTGGTCTTTGGGTTCAAAAGAAGGAAAAAACTCAAAACCTTGACATGCAGTCGCTTAGGAGAAGCCACAGCTGCTGTTAACCAGTACTTCTAAGAAGTGTGAACTGGCCAACCCATCAGGCAAGAGGTGACTTGAAGCTTAGCGATAGCTGCAGTATCAGCCTTTTTAATACAACACAAGACCAGACCCTGCGCCGAGGCACAGAGACTGTAGGTCAGACTTTTTTCTCTCCAGGGCTTCCTCTTTCCAAAACCAAACCTGAATGACCTCCAAGGCCAACTGGGATTGATTCAGGGTTGATGCAATTACTGGACGTGCTTGATTTAAGAAAAAGGATGTTATTACCTCTGTATTTTGCCATAGTAACAGTTAGAATAAACACTAAAACCAATTTAAAACTTGGGAAGAGGGAATCTCCAGAAGAGGACTTAAAGCACTCAGACTAGTGCATCTGAAAAACAAAAAAGGTTGAACAGAAGTGGAGTTTTTTTACTAGTGCAGGAAGAATTTGGAGTTGAAATCACATCAGCTTCATCAGAAAACTGTACCCCACTCCTACTGTTGCCGAAGAGGGAACTTCCCATGAGTTTAACGCAGTCGGCATGAAACACGAGCAGCGTATTAGCATCTTGGAAACACCGTTTTCACTCCTCCTAACAGAGCCCGAGAGGTTTAACGTCAGATAAAAATGCAGTTAAATGTTCTCAAGTCTTTCCAAATGACAAGACCTCATTGGCAAAACATGCCAATAAATGTGTAACACTAATAATACGTGTTAGTTGCTTTGTTCTAGGAGTCCCACAGCATGAAGTCATAACTCGTCTTTCCCAAAAGAATCGTAGTGTTTTGACCGTGTTGAAATGTGTTAGGTTAGGGGAAAATACAGTCGATCCTCTGAAGAGGGAGCGTTGCATTTTCCAAGAGCCGTGTATCTTAACGGATCCTGTGGACATCCCTGTAAAATGCACTTTGTGTGGTCTGTCAGGCAAACTGCAGCCCAGAATGCTTCATACGTTTTAATGAGTTTAATTTCCCCTTCCAAAATTGAGGCGCAAACAAAGAAGCGTTTTCTGGTGACATTTGAAAAGAGATGGAGTCAGTGATGCAGAGATGCAGGAAGGTTGTTCCAAGTGGCAAGATGTACAGAGGAAGAGGCTTCTGCACCGGCGAGGGTGGTGGGACGTTGCCAAAGTACAGTGAGAACTGGGTGGGCGAGGGAGAGATGAGGTCAGCTGGAGAAACTCCATCAGGAGTGAAAGCTGGTTTGTCTCCATCTGGAAACGCACAGAGGAGTCGTGAATGGTGAAAGGAGGGAATCCTCTTCTGGAAAAGGAGAAAGCAAGGGTGTGAGAGGGGATGGACAGCGTCGTGGGGCCTGAACGAGGCAAACACTGACAATTCAGTTTAGATAGAGCATGTGCAGCTTCAACTGGATCCATAGATGCAGGTGATGGAGACCTGGACCTCTTCTCATCACAATTTAGTTTCTTGTTACACAGTGTTGAGACATTGTTCAAGTGTTCAAGGCCAGGTTGGATGGGGCTTTGAGCATCCTGGTGTAGTGGAGGGTGTCCCTGCCCATGGCAGGGGGGTTGGAACTGGATGGTCTGTGAGGTCCCTTCCTCTGATCTGTTCTGTCCATACAGTTTTCACAATTAATGTCGTGGTCTCAAGGAATGAGATTGGGTTGGTTTGGCAGGACCTTTTTTTGAACTGTTGGTATTAATTATATATTTGTCCTTTGAGCCTTATTAAATTATCCGAATGTGTTTCATCTCATTAGCTAGTATCTTATCGGTCGTGCTTAATTGAATCATAGAATCCCAGACTGGTTTGGGTTGGAAGGGACCTCAAAGACCATCCAGTTCCAACCCCCCTGCCATGGGCAGGGACACCCTCCACTGCACCAGGTTGCCCAAAGCCTCATCCAACCTGGCCTTGGACACTGCCAGGGATGGGGCAAGAATGCTTTTAGCAAAGCCCAGATGGAATGATCCAGACTAACTTGCCTTATAGTTAGCTGCCTCTGGCTTGCTCTTTTCTACGTTGATATTCCATAAAATACCCTGCCAGCTACTTGAGTTTATCTAAAAATCTAAGACTGTTAATGGAAATTAAATATTAGAAGAAGGAAGTTTTCATAATTTCTAACTTAGATTTTTTCCCTTTGGTGTTCTTGATGTTGCCTTCCTTTGGCTATTGAAATGAAGCAGATTTTGGCCAAAATTGTCCGTCATTGATAGCAGAAGAGCCAGAATTTCCTTATCAAAGAGCTCTTTAAAACCAGGTTCTATTTCTATTTTTCAGTCTGTGATTTTTGCTTGGTCAGCTTTGTGTATGGATTTATTCTGCCTGGAGAAATATAGATGAGTTCCTGGCTTAGACTGTCCTCTGTCTGGGTGGAATGTAATCAGGTCGTGATCACTGGTGCTTGCCCAAAGGCGTAGCGCAGTTTAGTCATTGATTTTTGGGTTTATACCATTATAATAGGGACCAAAATAGGTGCAACAGCTTCTGTGCAAGAGAATTGTCCTTGGTTGGAACTGATGTAGTGATAATACCGAGGTTACGGATGGACAAATGTGGTTTTGCTTTTGCTGTTTAGTAAAGAAATGAGCTTTGGTTTGTTTTGGGTTTTGGTTTTTTTTTTTTTTTTAAGAAATGTAATTGGGACGGCATTAAAATAACTTTTAGTGAGTGCTGTCAGATTAGAAAGTTATTTTAAGAAAAAGCAAAATGCAAACCGTACCCTGAGTGCGTTGCATCACTGCATGGTGAACTGATCCTTTTACTGGAAAACCTGGGTGAGTTTTGCTGCGATGAGCAGGACCACCCAGCCAGGTGTCCAGACGAAGCAGCTAATTCTCGAGGTGCTTCACTTCAAGCAGCACGTGAGAAACGGGGACTGTGGGTAAAGAGGACCCCGTCGGCATGTGAGGAGCTGCGGAGAGCTCCACACCTCTATGGGAAGCTGTGCCAGGATCCTCTGAGCAAACTGGCTCCTGCTCTGAGATACTTACTGGTGTGTTTTGTGTTGGGCAGCCATCAAGACTGACGCAAAGGCTGCAGATGCCAAGAAGACCTCTGCAAAGTCGCCATCAGGTAACTGTGTTCGGTTTCCATCTACGTCGAGTCCTCCTCATCCGGGGCTGTGTTTGTTAAGGATGACACTGCACATCTTTAGGGCTCTGGGCAGGTTTGTATAAATGGCCTCTGACACATCTTTTCCCCCTTTCCCTCCAACTTTCGCTGTGACAATTGTAGCAGACTCGAGCCGCCCTAAGAGTGCTACTGGGAACTCGGTGAAAAGTAGTGCCACCACCCCTTCGACCACCACCTCCAGCGCACCGACTGTACCCGGGGTAGCCACCAGTCGTCCCAAACCCAAGCCTGCTGCAACCAAACCCGCCGCCACCTCAACCGCGACAGCAGATGCTAAAAAACCAACCGCTAAGGCTCCGACTAAACCCAGCGCTGTTTCCAAGCCACCTCGCCCCACCAGCAGCGTTTCTGCTCCAGATCTGAAAAATGTACGTTCCAAAATTGGATCAACAGATAACATTAAACACCAGCCCGGTGGAGGGAAGGTAAGTTTCTTCAAACTTGGTAACAAGATGCGCTGTGGAACGGTAGCTCTCAAGCCTTTATGGGTGCTCTCTGCTAATTTTGGTGGCTGTGTCCTCACTGCTCTCCTCGTTTATGCTCTGCAGAGCTCCTCTTTGGGTTCTTGGTTCATGCACAAGGCATTAACGAGGCAGTGGGTACAGAAGGAATCCGCCTTCAGAGCCTTCGTGGTGTTTGCTGGCATACGTACAGGAATTCAAAACTCTGCCGTTCTGTTTTTCTGTCGTACGTCCTGACGTAGCAACTACTCAGTATTGAGATCTTGTCCGTGTTCCAAAACTTTGCCTTTGAATAGAGGAATTGTCTACCAAACGGTACAGAAGGTAGGATAACGCATTGCGATGCAGGAAATCTGGATTCAGGAGCACGTTCCGCAGCACCTTTCCCAGGTCTAGGAACAGGGACTTTGTTCAACTTGTCGGGGCTGAAGTGGAATGCAGTGGGTCTGCATTCACTGGTCTGTGGATAACCTATGGAGGCCACAGGAAAAGGAGAGGGTGGTGTT